CAACAAGAGTAACCAAAACAGCATGGCACTGGTACAATGACAGGCACATAGACCAATGGAACAGAACTGAGAACCCAGAAATGGACCCATCTCTCTACAGTCAACTGATTTGACAAGGAAATAAAATCTACCAAATGGGTAAATGATAACCTTTTCAACAAACTGTGCCGGCAAAACTGGATTACTACCTGCAAAAAGCCGAAATAGGATCCACATCTCACCCTGTACACAAAAATCAACTCAAAGTGGATCAGAGACCTCAGAATAAAACCATAATGTTCATAAGAGACAAACTGGGATCAAGCCTAGGAGGCCTAGTCTACAGTATAAAGGGACTGCCAAATACAGGCAGAAACACAGTATCTGAAGAGGATAAAAGTGATGAATGGGACCTTTTAAAGATTAAATCTCTGTGTTCATTAAAAACTTTTCCCAACAGGGTGAAAAGAAAACCTACTGACTGCGAACAAACATTTGGCAATACCATCTTGGATTAGGGTCTCATAGCGAAAGTTTACAGAATCCTACAGGTCCTCCAAAAGAAAAAGACTGATAATCCAATTACAAAACGGGCAAAAGACATGGAAAGTTTTGATGGAGGAGGATATTCAGACAACATGGAAAAAATGCTCCAAATTACTGGTAATAACAGAGATGCAAATCAAAACCACAATGAGATACCATCTCACTCCAGAAGCTGTGACGAAGTTTGGCTAGGCATTAAGTTATAAATGTTGGAGAGGATGTGGCAAGTTAGGAACTCTTATACATTGCTGATGTGTTTGTACAATGGTACAACCATTCTGGAGGCAGTTTGACATTTCCTCAAAAAGCTGAACATAGAAATTCCATATGAACCAGCTATTCCACCTGGAATATACCCGGAGAAAATTAGAACTGAGGTACAAACAGAGACTTGTATACCAGTGTTCACAGTAGCATTATGCATCATAGTAAGAACAAGGAAACAGCCCAAATGCCCAACAACAATGGAATCTATTAGGAAAATATGGTACATTCACACAGTGGAATACTATGAAAATGCAGGAATACTGATTTTGTAAATTCTACCTAACATGGGAGGGACTGGAGAGCATTATGCTGAGTGAACTAACAACTCAGTCTCATAAAGACAAATACTTTATAGGACCATTATTGTAGAGTGTATACTAGGATTCAAGTATGGGGCTTAATCATAGGGTCACACAATTTGATGGGTGGAGGGAGGGATTGGTAAAAGGGAAAAGGTTTGGTGTGAGAAACAACGTGTATGAACTTCATGAACATACATTGACAGGATTGTGGTTCAATTTATTCAGCCATCACTATGGAAGAAAAACCTGGCAATCTGATTCCATAAGTGTAAAGACAAACACCAGCATAAGAGACAATGAAAGAAACTAGTTAATGAGTAAATGGTCATGTGAACAAGACACAATTATAATTAATTTACATGTATCTGATTATAGAGCTCCAAATATATAAATGAAACATGAACAGATTTGAAGACAAAGATTGTTTCCACAATAGCAGTAGGATACTTCAATACAATATTTATTGTCAAGAAATAACAGAAAACTAGAAACATACTCAACAAAGATGCAGAGGTACTAAACAATACAGTGAAACAACTAGACCTCATAGACATATACAGAACATCCCACCAGACAAGAGCACAATATAAAAGCATCTTCTTGATATTGATTATGAAGCCAACTAAGAAGAAACTATTGTCAATTTCAAACTTTTACACATCTATCATGATGTTGCCTTTTGGCGAAGATTTTTGTTTCCTTGATGTTGAGATGTAACCCATACTGAGGGCTGTACTCCCTTTTTTTTTTTTTACGTCTGCTTACAAATTTTATATACATTGTATTCCACACTATTCTTCATTCACATTGTTTCATACAATCATTTTCATGCATTATGTTTTATAAAATGAATCACCATTAAAAAAAGCATCTTCTCAAATGGCAGTGCTACTTATATTCATTATGATTTGTTTGGGTTTTGAAACACCATCTAAGCAAAAAAACATGAAGGGATTAAGAAGATAAGAAATGTCAGAAATAACTAACTGAAAGATCAAAGGGAAAAAAATCAAGGACTGCTTAAATACTACTGGGTAACAGGAAAAATGAAAAAGAAAACTTAATTTCTTGAAACAAATGAGAATGGAAAACACAACATACTAAAATCTTTGGGCAAAGTAAAAACAGTGCTTAGATACACATACTAAAAAAAAATCCATATCCTTAATCAACATCTCTAACAGAAAAAATCCAGCAAGCAAACCATACAATCTGCTGTTCTGTGCTATCAAATCTGAACAGACACATGAATGACCATTCGGTGAGTTTTCAGAGGGAGTCAATCTCATTTTTCTCCACAGAGCACCAGGTAGATCTGAAAAGTATGCCTTTGGGTTGGCAGCAAAACTCCTTACCACTAGGCCACCAGAACTCTTTATAATCTCTAGCAGAAAGACCTTCCTCCTTGAAAAGGAGATACGAAAGATGTCTTATTCTTTTTTTTTATGGTAAAAAGTTAGGATAGATTTATCAGAAAGTTATATCTCAAAGGGACATAAATTCATTTTCTTAATGTTCTCTTTTGATGAGAAGAAACGAAAACTCTTGTTACATTGTTCATCTTTCTTTGCATTGTTCTTATGGTTCACATTTTTTATAGTCTGTATGAGAAATCTGCATAAGAAATCCTTCCCATCCCAAATCATGAAGATACTGTCACAAATAATCTCCCAAAAGCTTTGCTCTAAGCTGTTACAGTTAGAGCATTTTTATTAATCTATCTCAAATAATTTTTTGTGTGTATAAAGTATAACTGAGGTTTATTTTTCTGCACAAATATCCAGGTGTTCATGGGTCATTTATTTACTCATTGAATTAACAGACAGCTTTGCTTAAAAATCAAATTGTCATAGATGTTTACATGTATTTCTGGACTCTCTGTTGTGTTCCACTAATCTTCTGTCCATCAGGACATCAATACCAAATGTCTTTCTTATACTAAGTCTTCAAATCTGGTAGCTTATGTCCTTCAATTTTGTTCTTTTTAAAGATTGGCTATTATAGTGTTTGTATTTTCATGTATATTTAAAAATAAGCCTTTAAATGTCCTCAAAACAGTCACCATTTTGACTAGGACTGTATTGAGTCTATATATCAATTTAGAGAGAAGGCACATCATTAACAACATTGAATCATCCAATCTGTGAACACAGTAAAGTACTCAAGCATTTTTCAAAACCAAATAAACCCACTGCCATTCTGTTGATCTCTGACTCACTGACTTTATAAGACATGCTTGAACTTCCAAGGCTGTCATCTCTAAAAAAGCAGCAGGTCTCAGGGTTCAGTTTACATCTGAGTACTTTAGCCACTAAATCACCAGCAGTCTTTAATATTTTAGGATATTATTTAAGTGATATCTGCAGCTTTCAATGTATATTCTTCCAAGAGAGATTTACTTCAAAAACATGATTTCTTAAGCCAGTGCAAAGAAAAATTCAATTTAGCAATTATTACTAAAAAGGTGATCATGATGAATAAAACATAAGGAAATCTTAACACTTTTTAAATCATTGCAATCAATAAAAATATGGCTATCTTGAATTCATTCTAAACCACTCTTTTTTTTAAAAGTTTTACCAATGCAAATAAACTTTAATTAGTAGTAAAAGCAAGTATGTTTTTATTTATCTGTGCCTAGCTGAAGAATATGTAATAAACAATTTTGGGTTCAGTAAACTATTTATTTTATACGTAACATTAACTCAATTCAAAGATCAGCTATAATATATAAGACAGACAGATACGACTGTCTGATGATTCACAGAGAAAAAGTTTTTATAGTAAGTAGCAAATTTTTTGTGTATGTGAGTATGGAAGGAAAATTTAATTTCTTTTCTACTGATGTAGTAAGTGAGAATTTGATGCAGACACTAGCATTTTTATTCTAGTATAAACTAAATTAGATACTTATTTTGAAGTTTCAACAGGCATGAAGCTATTTAATTATTAGATACATATTTTGAAGTTTCAAAAAAAATGAAGCTATTCCATTATTAAGAATGTTCTTCATTAAAAAAAAAAAGAAAGAATGTCCTTCATATAGTAAAACATTTTGAGGTTGAAATGGTTATGTTTAGATTGGATGCCAGTAATTGGGAAAATTAATTATTTTAAGATTTTAAAAATATTTAATGACATACTATCTTAACTTTCCCATCGCAATAAGCGTATCGCGATGGAAAAGTCTGCTGTTAGGGACCTCTCTAAAGTACTCAGGAGCAACAGTGTCTCTCTGGAGACTAAGGTGCACCTGATACAGGCCATGGTCTTTGCAATCGCTTGTTATGCATCAGAGAGTTGGACAATGACTAGGGAGGACAGAAGGAGAGTGGATGCTTTTGAGCTGTGGTGCTGGAGAAGGGTACTGAATGTACCCTGGACTGCCAGGAAAACAAACAGATTCATCTTGGAGAGGATTAAACCAAGCTACTCCTTGGAGGCAAGGATTCTGGGGCTTCGTCTGACATACTTTGGACATGTTGCCAGGAGGGATGGGTCCTTGGAGAGGGACATCATGCTTGGGAGGGTTGAGGGACAACGCAGGAGGGGAAGACCCTCTATGAGGTGGATTGATTCGGTGACTGGGGTAATCAGGATGGGTGTGTCAGAGGCGGTGCAGTTGGCGCAGGATAGAGCAGGGTTTAGGGCTGTTGTGCATAGGGTCGCTATGAGTCGGAAACGACTCGACGGCACATAACAACAACAACAACTATCTTAAAGGATGGAAATAAAATCCCTTATAAATTAGATGCAAAGAGATAATTACAATAGTTAGTTGATTATACTAACTGTGTGCTTATGTACATTATGGTTTGTTTGAGTTTTGAAATTCATCATGTAAGCAAAAAGAGCGAGAAGGGACGAGGAGGATAAGTATAGCAGAGAAAAGTTGGGAATCTCTACCTCCATCTTCACAGTCTTCAGGGGCTTTGGCTTTTTTACAAAGACGGGGATCCAACCAGGTGGTTGTCTTGGTGTTATGGCTGTAGAATAAAGATCTCAATTAGAAACAGTAAAATGTATTTTAAAAGCAAAGATTAAAAGTGACTAAAAGGTATGCAATGTCTGCACATTTATCTCCCACAGGTTCCATCTGTACTCTTTAGATTCAATAATCCTATTGTTCTCAATTCTGCTACTTCAAAACTACCATAAAGGAAAGGTAATACAACAAACACTAATTTTAGAATGAAAACTCTAAAGAAGGAATAAATTACCAAGGGCACAATAACAGACACTTATTTAAGCAATAAGAATGTTTCAAAGCATAAGCTCAAAGCCACATACAGGGTATTATCCAGTTGGTGGGGGGGCAAGGGGAGAAGGTGCATTAAAAAGCCTGTTTGCCACTTCTATGGATTCCTTCATCTCTTCATTTAAAAAAAAATCAAATAATAAATCACACACATAAAAACACACAAACTATTTATTGAGTCCCTTGAGCTCTGGTGGCATAGTCCCTGTAGAGCTGTGTTTTTAACACAAAGGCTATGCCTCTGGAGGTTGAATCTGCTAATAGCTGGGCTGGAGAAATCTCTTGTGACATTTACAACCTGGGAAGCCCAATGGAGGGCCCACTCTGAGTAAGTTCATTTTGGTAAAAGGTGACATGCTCAACTTGGAAGCAAAAGAATGGTGGTGTGATCCCACCCAGAGGCACCTGTGGTGGGCGGTGGGAGTAGGGAGAAAGTCCTGGGGATTGCCTGAGAGGTAACTGAAATGGTAACTGCTTTTTATTTTGGTTTGTTTAAACAATGTGTAAGGTCTGTGCTGGGGATTAAGAGAGAAACTATGTTCCTGTCTTCACAGAGCATTATTTTAAAGAAATAACTTCATAATAAAACAAAAAGTTTTAAAGTGGTTGTTTTTGCCATAGGCAAGCAAAAATAATGGGCAGAATTAAACTCAACTCTAAAAAATAGATTTTCATCAGAATTCACCATACATTTATTTAACAGAAGTAAGGGAACGGGAATCTAGAACAAAGAGAATGAAAGATCTCTGTTTTATTTTAGTAAATGCTTTTAACAATTACAGCTTGCTTGGCTCCACAATCCACATTTTGGCACCAGCAGTCAGGAAATCAAAAGACGAATTATACTGGGAAAATCTGCTGTTAGGGACATCTCCAGAGTGCTGAAGAACAATGATGTCAGTCTAGAGACTAAGGTGTGCCTGATCCAGGCCATGGTATTTGCAATTCCTCGTTATGCAAAATACAGCTGGATAATGAATGACTAAGGATGACAGAGAAGAAACAATGCCTTTGAGCAGTGGTGCTGGAGAAGAGTCTTGAACATACCATGGACTGTCAAGAAAACAAACAGGTCTGTTTTAGAGAGGGTGAAACCAAGTTTCTCCTCAGACGCTAGTATTTTGAAGCTCTGTCTCACATACTTTGGGCATGTGGCCAGGAGAAACTGGTCCTTGGAGAAGGACATCATGTTTGGAAGGGTGGAGGGACAGCGCAGGAGAGGAAGACCCTGGATGAGATGGATTGATACAGAGACTGGGGCAATGGAGGTAGGTGTGTCAGAGTCAGTGAGACTTGCTCAGGACAGGACAGGCTTCAGAGCTAATGTACATAGTGTTGCTATGGGTCATAGATGACTCAATGGCATATAACAACAACTACCACCACAACAACAACACATGCTCTTCAAGAGAGATTTCTGTTTCATGGAGCTGTGGTGATCTAATCCTAAAGAGTTGTGCTGGTGCTTTGAATCCACCAGCTGCTCCACAGGAGCAATGCCTCTGTGCTCTGACAACCTACTGGAGGGTCTGCCTTGGGTCAGTTCTGACTTGAAAGCATACAACAACAAGAAGAGATTCTTTTTAAGAGAGATTCCTGTTGAATTTAAAGTCCATTACGTAAGGTATGGCATCAAGTAGTAAACATAAATTCTAAAACAAAATTATCACATTAATGAAAAGACAATGAATGTTCATATTTAGATATGAAGACACTGGAAAAAATCAGAGAAGAAAACACAGTAAGACAACAAAATGCAAATTAAAGCTATTACCTTATTAGTATGTAGATAACAATGTGGACATATTTTCCTTCTTAGCTACCTTTAAGGAGTCCTGGTATTGTAGTGTGTTGACCTGCTAACTGAAAGGACAGCAGTTCAAATCCACCAACTGCTCTGTGGGAGAAAGATGAGTAATCTCCTTCTGTGAAGATTTATTGCCTCCGAAACCTCATGGGCAGTTGCCATGAATAAGAAATCAACTCGACAGCAGTTGATGTGGGTTTTAGATTTGCTGGTTTTAATAAAGATACATTTTTTAAAAATTGTCCAATTTACTAATAGTGGAATGAACTGATGGATGTTTTTAATCTCTACATCATCTGCTCTTCTCCTTTTTTATAAAAAATAATGTCTTAATCTCTACACTGACCACTCTAAGATAATGAAATTAATGACTTAAGGGAATTAATCATATCATCTATAACTTTTCTAATCCCTGAACAACTTGCATAGGTATACAGCCATTTGTTACACTTGAACAGGTATGGTAACATTGGAAGACTACAGTTGTTGTTGTTAAGTGTCATCAAGTCAAGTATGACTCACAGAGAACCAATGAACAACAGATCTGAACCCTGTCCTATCCTGTGCCATCCTCATAATTTATGATACACTGAATCCCACTGCTGCATCCACTGCGCCAATCCATCTTGATGAGCACCTTCTTCTCTTTGGCTGACCCTCCACCTTTCCAAGAATGATGTTTTTTGCAAAAAATAGCTTCTCCTAACAACATGTCCAAAGTACGTGTGATGAAGCTCACCATCCTTGCCTCCAAGGAACGCTCTGGTAGAAATACTTTTTGGCAGGAAATTAATGTAGGAGAAATTGAAACTTTCCAGAAAGTCTGTCATTCATGATAGAGGATCTTCCCAAACTAACTCCAGTTAAGTTTATTTTAGCAAAATAAAAGCGATCAGGACTCCAGAGATCCGTTAGAGGAAACATACTGATAGAAAATGAAAAGAAAAAAAAATCATGGAAATATCTTGATAAGCAAAACTCCAAATTCTTGTTTGAGAAAAGCTTAACTTTGGTTTCAGTAAGTCAAAATTGTATTTCTAAATTAGCAGATGTGGCTAAATCCCCTAGGATATTAAGCAATATTTTCCAAGTTAAGTGTGCATAGGGACTGCACTCAAAATTTAGGAACTAAAGTCTACAGATCCATGCTAAGATTGTTTCTTACAGTTGCATATTTTAATAGCAGCAGAAACATGGATGCGCTTAAACACATTACCTGTAAAACAAAACAGCTTTAAACAGCAGCAAATAATATTAAACTATAACTAAACCCAATGTTACTAAATCAGAACTGATTCACAGCTGACCTCCTAGCAGGTTTTCAAAGATTGTAAATCACACAAGATAAGACTGCCTATCTTTCTCCATGGAAGCAGCTGGTGGATTTGAATCCCTTTCCTTTGAGTTGTCATCTCAACTCTTTGTCCATTAGACCACCAGAGGTGCTTATTCAACATTGTTGTTTATAGCTCACTTTATGGGGATTTTCCTCCAATCCTGATGCCACTTTCCTCCTCATAAAGCCGAGCGTCCCAAATTATCTGTTCTGCATACAGATTGAAAAGATATGGAGACAGGATCTATCCCTGACACACTCCCTTCCTGATTTTGAACCATGCAGTGTTTCCCTGCTCTGTTCTGATGACTGCTTCCTGGTCCACATATAGATTTCACAGGAGCACAATCAGGTATTCTTGGATTCCCATTTTCCTCAGGTTTAGCCACAATTTGTTGTGATCCACACAGTCAAATGCCTTTGCATAGTCAATGAAACACAGACAGGCATTCCTCTGTTACTCTTTGTTTTAGTCAAGATCCATCTGACATTGGCGATAAAGTCTCCAGTGATCTCTTCTAAAATCAGTCTGTATTTCTGGTAGTTCTCTGTCAGTGTACTGTTCTAGTAGCTTCGGAATCATTTTCTACAAGATTGTGCTTGCATGTGATATTAGTAATACTGTAATACTAAGTTGTCATGTTGGAGAGTAATTTTGAACATATCAATGAACAAGTTTGTCCTGTAGAGGGTGAAACCATGTTTCTCCTTAGAGGTAAGGATTTTGAATCTGTCTCACGTACTTTGGGCATATGGCCAGGAGCAAATGGTCCTAGGAGAAGGAAATCATGCTTAGAGGGGTAGAGAGACAGCACAGGAGAGGAAAACTCTGCATGAGATGGATTGACACAGTGACTAGGGTAATGTGGTTAGGTGAATCAGAGACAGTGAGACTGGTTTAGGATAGGGCAAAGTTCAGAGCTCTAATACATAGGGTTGCTATGAGTATTACGTGACTTGATGGTACATAACAACAACAACTACAATGGGTATTTTCGGAGGCTGTAAGTTGCATGGGAAAAGACTTTCTCTTGCAGAGAAGGTGGTGGATTTGAGCAGTTGGCCTTTGGGTTGACAGCATAACTCCTTATCAGTAAGACTATCAGAGATTGCTTATTCAATTATGTTGTTGTTGTTGTTAAGTGCCGTTGAGTTGCAGGCGACTCACAGCAATCAAATGAAGGAGAGTCCTTGACACGTGGGTGCCTTTCATCCTCTCTCCAGGTTCATAGGGTTTCTGGAGGCAATCTATTATGGAAGTGGATGCCACTCCTCCTTCCAAGCTTCTTTTAATCGGGGAGTTCCACCCCATATTCAACTATAGGGACATTTAATTTATAGACAATCCTCACCCATACCTACTCTCTGCCCCATAATTTATCTCTGTAGGGTTATGTATGCTCAGATTCAGTGCATTATAATCTATTTGTAAAGATATTCTAGTCACGTCTACTGACTCTACATCTCACTCTGGGGTTTAGGTCTAAAGTCAGCATGAAAGTCAAGTGTAAATTATCCTTGAAAACCTCCTTAAATTGTTTACAGAGCAGAGTACACCTGATTTTGCCTTTGAAAAAAAAAATCAGTCCAGGGAGCTCTGGTAGCCTAGTGGCAAGAAGCTGCATTGCAATCCCAGAGGTACGTGGTTTGAGTCCACCAGATGTTCTGCTGGAGAAGGAAGGGAAATTTCCTCTTATATGAGTCAGATCCACTTTGATGGTACACACACAAAATAACAAAATAAAATAAAAAAATGAATCATTCAGCTTATATAAATATATAATATATTCAATAATATGCCACAGATGGTGAAAAGAAAATCTCACACTCAAAACAATGCCCTTTAAATACTAACATCTCACTTGGTATATCAAATCGCTCACTCTATAAGAAACATATGAAATTAGGACCAAATGAGGGGAAAGATTAGAGACCTCACTCCTGACTCGTTTCTGAGTATATATTCTTTAACTGTAGTATCCAGTCACACTATTTTGATAATTTAGTCATTATATTCTATAATTTAACTGTATTAATGCTCTACTTCTGAGAAAATTAAGGGTAAGAATTACAGCTGCATTAGAATATAAAAATTCTTCATAATAAAACTTGTGATAAATTATTTGCACGCTATTCTTCTCTGGTGCAAACAGTGAATGATTGTGGGCTGCTCTAACGCATGTGGTATTCACTATCTCCAGCAACAGTGTGTTATTAATGCTTTGCATAAAAACAGTTTTATCTTTTTTCTTCTCTTTTTTAAATTTATATTTTAATGAAAATTTATAGAGAACTTGGATTTTCATTCTTTCTAGATTTATCTTTTCTGAGAATTTATATTGTACCAATTACTCTGAGGATTAGTCATATTTTCCTTCTATATTATTTAACTATATTAACTGAATATACCAAATCCAAACTCTAGGACTGAAATTATTTAGCTCAGGAAATTAATATTCTATTTCCCTTGTCCCAAAATGATAATAATTCCTGAAAGGCTTCTTAGGCTCGAAAACTTAACAAATATTACAGAGGGGGGGAAAAATCCAAAGCAAAACCTGTTTCTCTTTACAACTTTAATTATTAGTGATGAATCAACTTTTAATCTCCCTGCTTTTATAAAACCAGAAGTCATATACACTGGCCTTTATTTAAGTCAAATAATAATGAAATGTCATCCAGGGAAATAATCAGATTAAGAACCAACTGTAACTTGTATGAAAAAGTTTAGTAAAGAAAGAAAAGAAATGGAACGTGTGTGAAACAGACAAACATGCAAAATGAAGTGAAAGCACATTTAAGACAAGCCTTGAGGCTGCCAGAAGAGGCAGAGATGTTTGCTTACTCAATGAAGTAGATCATGCCGGCATCTGTGTAGGCCATTTCCCAGTTTTTAGGCAGTGGCTCCAAATTCTCATCTCTCATCATGTAATTTCTAAAGTCCATGGAGCTATTTGTTTGGTTGTAACTTGGGACAGTCTTCATCCAGTCAGATGATTCGGAGTGCGCCTCTCTGTTTTCAGCTATTATTTAAAACAGAACAAACAGCATGAAAATTGGGTAAAATTACACTCCTCTCCAAAGAGTCCTCTTCACCTCAAACACAAAACAATCACTGCAAATATCCTTGTCTATTATGAATACATCTTTATATAGTTGCTGAAATAAAAAAATGAAACACTGAATTTTACTAACTTTCTATTGTAATTAGCCTTGTATAATACATCTGACACTAGTGTGGGAAGGAAGCAGAAGGTACTAGAAGCACCTTAGTATATAATACCAACTATAACAGTAGCTATTACAGCTCCTATTGTTGTTGGTTGCCATTGAGTATGAATCATAGCAACTTTATGAACAACAGATCTGAATCCTGTCCTGTCCTGTGCTATCCTCACAATCTTGAATACATTCACGCCCAGTACTGCAGTCACTGTGTCAATCTACTTGGTTAAGGGTCTTCTTCTCCTTCACCATCCCTCTATCTTTTCTAGCATGATGTCCCTCTCCAAGGAATAACTTCTCCTAACAGCTAAAGTGGTCCATTTTATGTGCCACGCTCTACTTTAAAGAATATTATTCTGAAATTCATCTACTGTTGTTCTTGTATACTGTAGAGCAGGAACCAACTCACAGCTGACTCTCCAGAGGGTTTTCAGAGGCAATTAATTGCATGGGAGGAGACTGTCCATCCTTTTCCCGTGGAGCAGCTGGTGGCCTTGAACTGTGTGCCTTTGGGATTGCAACACAGCTTCTTGCCACTAGTCTACCAATCCTTAAAACAACCCTGTGAGGATATACTGGTTTTATTATTCCATTTTATAAATGAGAAAGACAAAACAAAGGGAAGATAATTTGGCCATGATCACACAGGCCAGGATTAAAATCTAAGTGGTCTGTGCCCTCATTTCCTGTACCAAGCTACCTAGCGCCCATCTAACAAAGGCCCTGATACTACATAATACCTTGGTAACAACTCCAAACTGCCAGTAATGACTTAGGATCGGAGAATCTCAGAAAAGGTTTTGGATAGTATTATATACCACTTTTTATATAGTATTTAAATTTCAACTGTCTTTATCCAGCCACATCCTACAATGCATCAATCCTACTGTTTCTCATTTCAACGTCCCCAAGTCATTACAATCTCCTTGATTCCCTTGCCTCAACTTCATAATTTTTGCATGACAGACCATAACTCTGCTTAAATCCCACTGCCCACTTAGTATATACAAACAACGCTTACTGGTGTGACTTTGAAGTCATGATCTCTAACCTTAGGCAGGAGAGCCCTGGCGGTCTAGTGCAAACCCAAAGGCAGGTGGCTCAAGGCCACCAGCTGCTCTGTGGGAAAAGGTGAGCAGTCTTCTCCCAAGGGATTTAGAGAGTTTGAAAAGCTGCTGGAGAGCCAGCGATGGGTTGGCCGCATGATGATAGCATCCAAATAGGTATCTTCAGATCAAACGCAAAGACTTTAAAATACAGCGTCAAAGATTACATTTCCCTTTGGATGTTTATTTAGTATCGCAAACATTCTATATTGAGCTCCCAACTACTCTTTCACTCCCATTCTACTGCTCAAACCTGCTCCTATTGCAATCTTTCTCATTTGGCAAATGCAACTGCACTCTGGAGACACCTGGGTCCAAACTTTTGGAGTCTTCTGTGGCTCTGCTCTTTATATTTCATGTCTAATCTGTTAACAAATGATACTAATGTAGGCCACATCTTAGCACCTCTTTTGCTTTTATCTTGGTTAAATCATCATTTCCTACTTAAACTTTTATAATCCTCTCCTAACAGGTATTCTCATATGCCTCCAACTGCCTATTTTGAATACAAAAGCCAGAGGAGGCTACTAAAACATACTACACTCAGTCTACGGAGACATACTACTCTTCTAATAAAAAATTTCCGTATCATTTACTATCTTAGAATAAAACAAAAATCTTTCCAATGACTTAGCATATCCTTTGTAAGATTCCCAGCCCCCACACGCATCATTCTCTGACTGAGCTCACTGCTTCCTGTTCTACTCGCCTCAACACTGGAAACATGAACGTCAGTGCTGTTTCTAGGCATGCTTCCATCTCAGTTTATTTATATGTATAGTTTTTTTTTTGTTGAAAAGTTCTTCCCTCTCATATTTTAAGCTTACTCCCTCAAGCTCCCCTTTTTTCCAAGCTCCTTCTCAGTGAGCTTTTTTGTGCCATTTTACTGAAAATTTCATACTACCCCACTCCCTTGGCTATCACCACTTCTTATTCTCCTTCTCTGTTTATTTTTTTCAGTAGTATCATTTAACATATAAGAAAATATTTGTGCTATTTATTTATATTGAACAGTCTCAGTATCTCTCATGAGAAGATACACTGTATGCAGAGAAAAGCTTTTATCTATGTCCACCTAGATGAATTTCCTGTACCTAAATAGTGCATGTCTAGCATTAGTAGCTTAGCAGGTACTCAATAAATTTGTTGAATAAATAAATTAGTGAAGCACAATTTCCCCCACAATATAAGAGACAATTAATATTATATTATCTCTGTTAATAATGGAAAGAAATGGTCTAAATAAGTGTTAAAATGTATTATATTTCTCTAGAATGTTTTTGTAGTTTTATTAATACATAGTCATATTTAATGTCCTAAAGCTTCACAAATAACACTCTAAAACCCTTCATGTACTATTTTGACAAATGACAGAAAATTCTAGAAGAGTATACATCTTTCTTAGAACCTATCTGCCCAAACTATTCAGTCTGAAAAAGGAAAAGAACACACTCTCTTGGAAAAAGGAATTGGTAATGCTATTGCTCTTTTCAAGTGTTTAAAGGTTCCACAATTTGGGGATATAGTAAAATTTATTGAGTGAGAGGACATTCTTTCCAAATATTTTTTTTAAGTTCCCACTATGTCTGAGGTACTTCTTTGATGCTAGACATAGAGTAAGAAATGAACAAAAAAAAGTGGTACTTACACAATAAAATTTGTATTCCAGTAGGTGGAATTGAATTATTATAGCAAACATCACTGCAATTATATTGTATATTATTTTGAAGTACTCAAAAACAGATATTCCACCACTGAAATTTTCCATTTAACACTGATTTAAAATTTAATAAAAAATGTAAGTTTTTAACTTCCAAATCTGGAAGCTTGCTTTTAATAGATTCAGAATTTAAATCTAAAATACTGCTAACTAATCTCTCC